AGTAGCAAAATGACAAGGACAACACAAGAAATGATGGTGATGCAGGATCTCAAAACAAGATGACAGGAATTTAACAATGGTGGTTACACGGCATATTGTTATCCTCAAAGTGATGGTGAGGTATGCAAGATTGATTAAGCAATATTCTTTCCCTTTTCCTATATTATTGTAACTTTTGGATCTTATTTAATCTTTCAGTTTGCTACACTAGAGAGACAATATAGTGTTTACACATGGGAGTCTGATTTATTTCACAAATGAGTGTATTTCTAGTTGCGTCAATTTACCTATAAAAGCCTCAAGTTTACTCTTCTTTTCTCTTAGGCTTTTAATGCTGCTGTCATCTGGCCTCAGAGCACAGCCCCCGCTGAACTTCTGTGGAGCTCGCACCCCTGACAGCCACACTTCCACTAATGGCAGGTCTGGACCTTGAGACAGAACTCCATCCTCTGGCCCCGTGTGATGTATCCACTATGGCCTTCTTTCTTCCTTTAGCTTCTTTTTACCTTCTTCTGCTCCCTTTCAGAGCAGGTCACGCATTTTTACTTTGCTTTTTAAGTTTTGTAAATGCATTTCATTTTTGTTCATATCCATGGACTTTCTGTAGTATAATTATTGATCTGTCTTCTTATTTTCAAGTAATATCTTTTAAAAAGACTTTTTTATTAGTACATGTTTGCAGTACATAATGATTATAGTCATTTTGGGGAATCGGTACAGATATATAATGCATCTTAATTCTTTTTCATCTTTTCTGCTCCCCTCCCACCTCCTGTCATCTCTGGGTCACAATTCCTTTTACAAAAAAGTACATCTCCCCATTTCCTGTTATTGATCTTTTATTTTGCTCTAGAATTTATTTACATTTTGAGTTTCTTTTTGGACCATCAATTTCTTTAGGTTTCTAGGATTTATTAGGTTTCCTGTTGATTGCTGTGGAACAAATTCCCTACACATATATTCTCACACGAGTCAGGTGAGGAGCTGTGAAGCTGAAGGGTCACATCTGCCAGTCAGTTCCCTCCAGAGCCCAGGCAGACCCTGCAGAGTGACTGTGCTCCCCAGCTTGGACCAGGGCTGGAGGGTTCCCTTGCAAGAAAGGTCACTTACAGGGCTGGTGGTCATGCTGTCTGCTCAGTCCTCTTCCACATGTCCCCTTGGCTTCCTGGACCTCTCTTCTCCACGTGACTTCTCCAACAAGACAGCCTAGGCTTCTTGGGTTAGAGAGATGGACACAGACACAGAGACAGACAGACACGGAACCAATCTAAATATGGGGGTGACATTGCATTACCTCTGCGGTATTCTAAGTATGGAAGTGAGTCCAATAGTCCAGCCCACACCCAGCGGGTTATATCGGGCAAGAATCTCAGGATGCAGCAGTCACCAGAGCATCTTTGAGGCTCTCTACCATAGCTGTTGTTGTAGTCAGGGTTTACAAGGTCACATAACTTACAGGGTTATTTTATAATGTTCATCCAAAGAGTCAAGTGCAAGAGCGAGGGAGATCTGTCCACACTAGAGACCCGAAGAATCCAGTTGAGCTGGGTGTGGTGGCACATGCTATAATTACAGACTTGGGAGGCTGAGGCAGGAAGATCATTGTGAGTTTGAGATCAGCCTGAATTACAAAGTGAGCTCAAGGCCAACCTGAATTGCATAGTGAGACCCTATCTCAAAAAGATGAAAAACAAACATACAAAAAAAAATCCTTAAGGGCCTTGCAGATTCCGCCATTCTTGGGAATGGATCCCATGGCACCGCCCTCCAAGAGTCCAACTAGAAGTCTACAGCACACGACAATGTTTCATTCAAGTCTGTATCAAGGATCTGCACTGGGAAGGCCCAAAGGTCATGGTGAAAGCTTACAAAGCACTGGAACCAGGAAGTGACGCTCAAGGTAAGGACCAGAGCCTTCTCCAAAGAGAACCACAGTCATCCTCGTGGACATTGAAAACCCAAGCTCCTCTGTTGAGGGGAACAGCCCAGTTCATATCAGGAAAGCCAGCGTGACGAGCTTCTCCAGGAGAATCAGTGCTACACGTCTTCCCCTCCAGGTCTCCCTTTATGCTGCTGGCCACAATCCTAGGTGAGCCTTCCATACCCAGCACCACACGATTCAGTTCATCTGAGTGTTCCAAGCTGACTGTTAGTTAATCCACCACAGCTACCATAGTAGCTGATTTACCCTAACTCCTAGAGCCCTCAACAGGGGGCTAAATCTCATGTCCCATGAAAGCACCCCAAGGCATTGAATTCTTGCTTGTTAAGTTCTAAAACCTTGTCTGGGGGTGTCTCTGGTAGCTGTGAGGTACAGAGCCCCTCATAGAGTATTAGAGGTCATCCCCAAAGATACTAAAAAACTCAGAGCATCCACCCAGGTGTCCATCCTGCACCTCAGAGCCCAGGTTTCCGAATCAGGGACTTGGTCTTAGTGAAATGGATCAGCCCAGGCTCAGGGGTCAGATGCTTTTGGAACTCGTTGTGCTAGTAATCATGGGCTGCAGGTGCTCCTCAGTTCTGTAGCTCTTCTCCCGCAGGAAAACTTTAGGGAAAAAAAGAGTCCTCTCCCACTTAACCCATAACTGGGTAACTATTTGTTAATGGCTCTCATTTTTTACTCCCTCTGGAGAACTCTAAGACTGTTTGGCAAAAACCAGCAGCTCTTCTCTTTTGGATGCTGCCTCCCACAGTGTCTCCCAGATGTGGCATTTGTTCCAACTATGGGGTTGTTCCCTTCCAAAGGCCTGTTTCCCCTAATTACCTAGTCATTAGGTTGCCACCTTCGCCAGGGACTCTGAGCACCCCAGGATGGTGAGGTGTCCCCTTTGCCTCCCTGTCCATGACTGAGGCAGTCCCCGGCCCCCTCTCTTTGCCCATGCCGATTTGGGTTTTCTGAGAAGCAGGTGCCAGGAGTCACGTCCCTTTCCATTGCCCATATGTGGGAAAGTGGGGGAACAGGCTTGGTCAGCGAGGGTCTTCAGGTTTTTCACAGAACTGATACCTCTGGCGGGACATGTTGACTTTCAAGAGCATCAGCTGGGAGGGGAAGTTTCAGCCAGGCTGATGGAGAGTCCCTGTAGCTAGAGGTTTCCTGCCTAAGGACCCTGCATTCTCCGCCATTCTTGGAGCAGCTCCGGGAAGTAAGGTCTGGGACCTATACCATGGTGGGTATAGAAGGCCTATCAGTCAGATGCTCTGAGGAGAGGATGCTCTGTGCCACATCACCAACTGTCTAAGTTCAAGGCTCCTTCTGCCTTGGAAGGTCTCCCAAATACCTCGCAAGGGTCACCTCTTCTTCCGCTCATGTTGGCCTTGGGTACCAACAGGCTTGGGCTCAGGAATGGACACTGACAAGGCACAGGGATATGGAGACATTGGCAAGGAAAATATCCTTTACGCTCCTTTCTAGGATTTACTGCTCAGGCTCACTGAGTCTGGGGCACTGAAGTCCCTCAGCTGCCACATGGCTTCCTCAGGGTGGAGTCCCCAGCCAGAGAGCACACTGTGATTTGAGGGACTTGTAGATGTGTCTCGGCCTTCACTTTGTGGGCTGAGCCTCTGCCATGAGAGGCACTCCTTCGCCTAGAGCACTGCGCCTTTGTTTTTAAACTCTGTTCTTCACTGTCCTCCCCATCCTGCCTTCACTTGGCAAGAACAAGATTATCAATCACAAATACTCCCAGAGGAACTCTTTTTTGGTCCATTCCTCAATCACAGGGATAACACTGGGCAGCAGGACTGCACTAGAGGTGCACAAAGGGCAGGGGCAGCGAGGGCGACCCTGAAGGCAACTCATCTCGTGCAAATGGGATTGCTGACCAACCCCACCCACCCACCCATAAGACCTGATTTCAGCTTTCTGTCTGTAAATTTTCTAGGAAGAGATTTTTGTGTCTTTGAGGCAAAAAAGTAACCTTTACTGTCATGCAAAAGGAAATCAAGAAAGGAATGAAATTAGGCAGTATCTCTGTCCCATGGAGCACACCCAAGTGATATTGGATGGAGGAGAGGAGGCATTGTGACCTCTTTGGGGTGAAAACCATGCCAGCCCCATGCTGTGAAGGAGAGCTGTGCCCTCTTTCCTTCCCACCCTGCAGTTCTGATCCTCTCAGAGTGGATAGCCATAGTCATTCTGTTCCACAAACAAGCTGGTGGTCCTGGCTCATGTCTAGCTGCAGGACAAAGATGATGCCCAAAGAGCCAATCTGGGGTTGGTCTATGGCCAGAAATTCCTCACAAGTTCCCAAGCAGGAGGAATAAGGATAGAAATGTGCGTCCCAAAGGGGCTGACAAGCTGCAGTGTGTGAGCCTCTGCCCCGGTGCAGGTTGCCAGTGTCTCTGGCTTGGCCTTCTAAATCTGATAATAGGTAGACATAGAGAGATGATGAGTGGATGGATACATAGATAGACAGATACAGGGGACAGATCTTTTCTCATAACATTATTTTAAGATGCCAGGAAACAAGATGTGAGAAATGCTCAGGCCAGAACTAGCATCTTCAGGTCTCACAGCAAGCTGCCCTCTGTGTAGTATGTCTGGGGTGGGTTTTAGGGCAGCAGAGATTTGCTGTTTCCCAAACTCAGATGTCTCTGAAATGTTCTAATCCTTCATTATTTAAAACTATTCAAGTGAAGTACAACTATAACCACTATTCTATCAGGCTTTCAGGAAACTTAATCTCAGTTGTTATTCCAATGCTTTTACCTTTCAGCTTCTTCAGAGTGGCTAGGCATGGCGTGACCTGGCAGTTGACTGGCACAGCAACCTGGATGCAGCGCCTCTGCCTCCACTGGACAGTACTCTTGGGCCCCGTCCTGTGCCTAGGATCTGCCTCCCTGAGCCCACTTGAGGCTCTCTCCCTTTTGCCTATCTTTTAACTCCTCAGATTCCACACAATTCCTGGGATCTCCAGATCCAAGCAGATCTCCCTTTGCTGAACAAAACTCTGCCCTCCCTTCCCAAATCGAGGGCAGGGCCTCACCCTGCAGCCCCTCCCCATATTCCCCAAATCTGTTCCTCAACTTGGTGAGGTCTTTTGTATTGGTTTGTTTTTTAGACAGAGTCTGTAATGTCTTCATGAAGGACAAAAGGACAGGTCAAGGGCCAGTGTCATGGTTTATGTCGGTGACTGCCAGGCCTCATGCATTTATATTATGCATCTGTGATTGGTTCATTGTTTAGGGCTTGGATTGGGGGTGTGAGTGCTACACTGGCCTAGGGGTGGAGCCAGAATGTAATGTAATGATAGAAAGAAGACATGTCTTGCTCTCTTTTGCCAGTTTCTGCCTTACTGTTTACAGCCACCATGAACTGCGGCCCTGCCATACCAGCCTGCCTTGGAGCCGACTGAGTATGGTCTGAAACCACCAAATACTGTAACAAATAACCTTTCCTCCCCAACTTTGGTCATCAGGTATTTTGTCTCAGCAACCAGTAAAAAGTAACTAAGACAGCCAAGGACTTAGCTCAACGGCCTAAGCGCCTGCCTAGCAAGAAGGACAGGTCAGCTACAGCCAACTTTTGCTTTTAACTCTGGATCAAAGTCCTCTGAGGAAGGGAGTCTGTTAGAGAGTGATTTGCACATTTACATTTGGGTGCTGGGAAGCTGCTGTGCAGAGATCCAGGCAGGAGTGGCCCAGGCAGAGGGACATCCCTGCATCTGGGTGAGCTTGGCCTGTTCCATGAGTATGATGGTGATGTAAGAGGAGGCCACAGAAGCAACCATCCAGAGGCCAGATCGTGACCTTTGGGTCAGGGCAGGGAGTTTGGATTTTATTTTTAATAGACTGAGAATTCCTTAGAAAAGACTGAAAGCATTGTAGTAAAGTAAATCTCATTTACATTTTTTTTTTTTTAATCAGTCCCGGGGATCGAACCTGCTTGCAAGGCAGGTACTTATGCCGCTGAGCTAAATCCCCAGCCCCTCATTTACATTTTTAAAAGCTAATTTTGACTGCTGGGTAGAGAATGCAGGGACAGAAGTAGAAGCAGAAGCCCATTGGGGAAGCTGTCACCATCATGCGGAGGAAGCCTTGGCGCCTGCACTCCAGTGCAACAAGGCCACTTCTTACCCGTCCTCTGCTACCAGAGTCGTCATTTTCATATTTATGCTACTAGATTACCAGCAAAAGCAGCATGGCCTCCTCTCTCCCTTTCTCCCTTTCTCCTGCCTACTAATTATTTTAATTACATTCCTTCTTGGTTTTTTCTTTCTATTTTTTTTCCATATAGAAAATCGAACTCAGGATTTTGCACTTGCCAGGCAGACACTTATGCTGCTGAGCTACATCCCCAACCCTTATTTCCGTTTTTATTTACAAGTGTGTGTGTGTGTGTGTGTGTGTGTGTGTGTGTGTAGCGTCTTTTAAATTATTTTTAAACCACGAGATCTGCGTCTGCCTGCCGGGCACCGCCACCAGAAGGCCCTTTCTTCTGTGTGTCCAGTGTGGGTCAAGGGAGAAAGACAGATCCACCTCTGCCTGCTGTGCTCCATCACCAAAAGGCCACATCCTGCCGGTGGCCAGTGTGGGCAGAGAGAACCAGCAGATCCACTTCACCCTCAGGGAGCTGCCACCAGAAGGCTCCTTCCTGCAGGCAGCCAGCAGGAGCAGGAACACACAGCCAGGTAAGCCCTGTGCATCCATAGGCCACCATTGGAGGCCCTTGGTTCCCTCAGGCAGCCATCACTCACTAGCAGAATCAGACAAACACACTATTGTGTGTCTGCCACCATCATGGGAGTCCCAGTGTAGACACATAGGCTGAGAGAAGCAACCCCACCTCCACGCCCTGATCATCAGCAGAGCCACAGTATAGCTGCATAGGTCTGGAGAAGCCCGCTCCACACCCTGCTAACTCCTTGTAAATCTGGAATTAGAGGAACTCAGGTGCCTGTCTCATTCCCTTACACTGCCTATGGGCAGCCAACACGGGAAGTGCCTGGGGCCCCACAATCACTTGTTGGGAGGAACCCAGAAGAATGTCAAGACAAAGGAGCAAAATGCAAACTGAGCCCTCTAGCCCACACAGAATAAATCTGGGAGATACAGTCATGGAAGAAAAAGGAAGTCACACACTTGAAATCTCTGAGGAGATAGCAACTGAAGTAAGGAAACAACTTCCTGAGATTGTAAAAGCAGTCAAATCAGAAATAATATCAGGCTGAGAGAAATCACAAACATGCTGAAAGAATTTTTCAACAGGACTAAGGAAGACATAGACAAAAAAGAAGACTGTAGGAAAATGATAGAAACCTTAAATGAATGTAGAAAAGAATTACAATGCATGAAACAAATTCAAAGAGAGATCCAGGAAATTAAAAATTCAATCGAAAGCTAGCAAAACCACTTGAAAGAGACTGAAGATAGACTTTCAAACCTTGAAGATAGGGTTGCAGCTAGTGATTGTGGAAGGAAAGATCTTGTAAAAATAACATGGAATCAGGAAATAACAACTCAACAGCTGCAAGATGATGCAAAGAAGCATAACTTAAGAGAGATAGGTGTAGGTGAAGAAGCAGGGGTCAACACAAATGAAATTAAAAGGATATTCACAGAAGTAATAGAAGAAAACTTCCCAAACAGAGGAAGTGGATCTGGCATGCAGATAAGTGAGGCATATAACACACTCCAACTAGCCATAACCAAAGTAAATCTACAGCCAGACATATAATAATCAAGATCCCAGAAATTCAGCACAAGAACAGAATATTAAAAGCTGTTAGAGAAAAGAGACAGAAGGAAAACCAATCAGAATCACAGCAGACTTATCAACACAAACTGTCAAGTCAAGAAGAATTTGGAGTGAAGTGTTTCAAATCCTGAAGAAAACAACTTCCAACTCAGATTGATCTACCCTGCAAAACTTTCAAAAATTGATGGAAAAATAAGATACTTCCATGATAAAGAACAACTGAAGGAATTCATGACTACCAAACCAACCCTACAGAGAGTGCTAAAGAATATTCTAGAGAGAGATAAAGACAACTGTGGTTTCAGGATCAGCAGCAGAGGAGGATCACCAAACAAGACAGGCAACTGAATGAAGGGGAAAAGTGGAGGGCCAACATCAGGAGGATAGCAGGGCAGAGACAAACCAGTATATGCCGGTTATAACCATTAATGTAGATGGCCTCAGGTCAGCAATTAAAAGAAACACAGGGAGAGTGGATCAAGAAACAAGATCCATCGATACACTGTGTACAAGAAACACGTTTAACTGGAAAGGAAATTCATAGACTGAAAATCAAAGAAGAGAAAACAATTGTTCTATGTAGCAGAAGACCAAAGAAAAAGAGTAACTTGGCCATCAACAAGAGTGGATAAGAAAGATACGGTATTTTCATGCAGTGGAGAGCTATCCAGCTATGAAGTAGAATAATCTCAAGGCTCCTGAAGGTAAATGGACACAATTGGAGATCATGTTCATGGCCAAAACAGTTCGAACTCATACACCTGAGCCCTAGCATAAGAAACAGAAGGAGTTAATGGGATCCAAAAGCAAAATAGTTAATGTAAGAGCAAAGGGGAGGAAACACCTAGGAGAGAAAGGTGGATACTACTGTCAATTTCTTAGTGTCTTATCTTGAACTCTTGCATTATTTACATAATTTTGTTAGGTTTGGCTTTGTTCTGTCTTGTTTTGTTAGATTTTATGCTGTCAGGTGGCAGGGGCAGCTATTTTGGATATAATGGGATATATTATGGTAATCATGGTTTTCTATTTTATTGCTTTGAAGTCTTATAATGCTTTTTTTTTTTTTTTTTTGTCTTTTTCATTTTTATCGGTACCAGGGATCGAACTCACAACTGCCTGCTTGCAAGGCAGGCACTTATGCCACTGAGCTAAATCCCCAGCCCCTGAAGTCTTATAATGCTTTCATTCATTTGTTTGATTGATTTTATTCTGTTTTGTTTGATATTATTAAGTGTGATGGTAAAATAGCTATTTTGAAGAAAACAAGACACTATGGTAGCCACTGCTGATTTACTATCGTCTCGCTTTGAAGTTCTGCCATGCTTTTGTTCTTCTGTTTTGATTGGTTCTATCCTGTTGTGGTTTATTTGATTTTATTATGTGAGATGGTATAGACAAATTTTTTGAGGAAAATGAGATATTATAGTAGTCATTGTTCATTTCTTGTTATTTGGTCTTGAAGTCCTGTAACGCTTTCATTCTTTTGAATGGTTTTATGCTATATTGTTATGTTTGATATTATTGTGTGTGAAGGTGTGCTCAACTATTTTGAAGAAAAAAACATTATGATAGCTATTGTTGATGTCCAGTTGTCTGGTTGTGAAATGCTTTGTTGCTTGCATTGTTCTGTTGTGATTTGCTTTGTTCTGTTCTCTTTTGTTTATTCTCTTTAAAATAAAAAAATTAAATAGATAAATTATTTTTAATTTTTGTTATTATTTTATTAGTTTATGTTTTGGACAAATCATGTTTACATTCATTGTGGGCATTTGCTGTCTCTACCTGGCAGACCATAAATATTCTTTGCTTCCCCTTAACCTTCCCTTCTCTCATCTCTCTGTCTCCTGACCTTGTTCCCCTTTACAAAAGGTCTATTTCCTTGTTCCTTTTATCAGCCCTCTATTTTGCTTTTTGTGTTTTGCCTCACTCAAATGAGAATGAAAGATACCAAATAGTGTTTAAACTTGTGTGTCATTTCTTTCATTCAAAATTACATTCTTTGACTGCTTGATGACTGTCATTCTTACTGAGATAAGATGAAATCTTAGTATTGTTTTAATTTGCTTTTCTCTAGTGACTAGAGATGGTCAACATGTTTTCATATATTTGTTGGCCATTTGTGGTACTCCTTCTGAGACATGTTTATTCATTTTACTTGCCTGTTTCTTGATTGGCCTTTTATTTTGGGTGATTTAATTTTTTGAGTTCTTTATATATTCTAGATATTAGTTCTCTGCCTAAGGAATAACGGGCAAAATGTTTTGTCCCTTCTGTAGGTTATCTCTTCACTCTACTAATGTATTCTATTGCTGTGAAGAAGGGACATTTAATATATATATATATTTAATTTAATATAATTCCATTTTTTTGATTCTTTCTGCTATTTCTTGTGCAGTTGGAGTACTGTTCAGAAAGTTCTTGCCTATAGCTATGACTTCAAATGTCTTATCCACTTCATCTTGCAGCAGGTTCAATATTTCTGCTTTAATGTTTAGATCTTTGATCCATTTTAATTTTAGTTTAGTACATGGTGAGAGATATGAGTCCAGCTTCAATCTGCTACAACTAGCTAATTTTTCCAGCACCATTTGTTGAACAGGTTATCTTCTCTCTAACAAATATTTTTGATCTCTTTGTAAACTATCAAATGGCTGAATGTACCTGGGAATGTTTCTGTATCTCTATTCTATTTTGTTGATCCACATGTCTATCTTTTTGCCAGTACCATACCATTTTTTTTAATTTAAAGAGAAAAAAACCCACAGCAGTAAAAGGGTACAAGTAGTACAGAATTGCAAGAAAAAAAATATACAGTAAGAAATCCCTAGTTAATAGATTACATACTGTCATCTTAGAAACAGTTGTCCAAATTACAAAATTACAGCATACAAAGTGAACATTCATACAGTGAGATTGAAGACAGTTCTGTTCAATGATCCAACAAAAATTCAGTAATATGGTTTTCTATCCTACACACTTAAATATACATGCAGTTATATCCTTTAGGCCACTTTCTTTTCCTCCCTTTTTTACAATAACAATTACACTTTTTGGGTTTTATTACTCCCATAGTTCTTATTACTTTTTTTGGAAGAGAATTAAAACCAAATGTGACAAAACAAAACAGAGTCAGTTAGAACAGAAGGATGGACATAGTACATGATGCAAAAATAGAATACCAGGTGATCAAAAGTGGTTACCATTATGCCTCTTGCTATCTTGAAAAGAGTTGCCCATATCATCAGGTATAATGGAATTGAACAAAACAGTACAGAACAAGACCAATAAAACCTACACTGGAGACCTTACAGGACTTCAAAAGAAGATAATAGTCAAACCATAATGGGCATCATAGTAAATCTTATTGCTTTCAAAGTGGTTGCCTATACTCTCAAACTTGATACTATCAAAGAAAACAGAATATAGTAAAATCAGACAGAACAAGATGGGGAGAGCAATACTGGGGTTCAAATCAGGTTAATAGGAAAACAAAAAAGTTACTGTAATATATCCTTCTGTTTTTTAATTTAGTTTTCCCTTAATTAAAAAATAACTTAATTTTAAATCACGTGTTTTTTTTTTTTTTTTATTTTTTTTATTTTTTTTTTTATCAGTACCGGGGATCGAACTCACGACCGCCTGCTTGCAAGGCAGGCGCTTATGCCGCTGAGCTAAATCCCCAGCCTAAATAACTTAATTTTAAAAAGTGGGAGATTGAGATAAAAGAGGACATAGTAACAGAACAACACAGGTCAGAACCGAACAATTTAAGCACCATTGTGTTTCACCCCCAGATAACCTGACATAATAGTAGTTACCATAGTGTGTCTTTCCTTGAATTATTTGAGTATAACTTCGTATACTATAGCATCAAACATATTAAGATGGTGTGAAGCCATTCAAGAGAATGTAAGAATTACAGGGTATTTA